CATTCCTCTTTTTTCAATGCATTTTTATAGTTAGCTACATGACATACTGTGGAGGGCACTAGAGAACATGCAATCCATGTGAAAATTCACCATAGCAACCATGCCACTGAAGCAACTAGAGCGTCATTCACTGCAATAGACGACTCAGCTTGATACAGCACAGCCCGAAATCTGTCACATCCTTGAATATTGCAGATTAATCTTTTAATATGTATAGTATTCACCTATGCATTATTAATACAGCAATCAATTATGCATTTAATTCATGCATACAAATGATGTACATTTTGGCATGTATTATTTGTGTTTCCTAATGTACAGTTGTCAGTTGGCATGTTTTTTTTGTGTGTGTTTTTTTGCTATGTCTGAGGGTGTAAGCACGTGTGTAAATGGGAAGGTAAGTGTGCTTTTATCACAACCCCTATCAAAGAACATTGAAGTGTTATTTGGCAGTGTCCCAAAACCTTTGTTAAAGCAAAATGAAGTGTGTGATTAAGGTGCATTAGCATATTAAAACAGTCTGTAGACCTACCGGTGGTGGAGCAAATCCATTGTTATTTTTAAGCTTAAATGAGTCTAATGAATAAATGCATGAGCACCTTTTTTGTAAGGTACCATATAATGTAATAGAATAATTCACATGATTGTATTGTAGTCTTGCAAGCAATCTGTTTTCATATATCCATGGGCCACGACACGAAAATGTTTCAAAGAATAACTCTTGATGCATCACTCGAGTGAAGCAGCTTTTCAAAATGGAAAGCTCATATCAAATTTTGCAAGGTCAACACACTTTTATTATGTGGGACGCAATTTATCTATGATGCTATTGCATAACTGAGTTATCGTAGTGCCTTCATGAGCAACACTGTGTGTCAAGCTACTGTATATTAGATCTACTACTGACTTTTCTTTATCTTTTGAGCAGTCCACCTGGAATGAGCATCGGATGCAGAGCAATGCCATCTACTGGAAGTTTGAATAAAGCACAATTTGTAAATCAATGCTGAGATGTACAAATATATTTTTTGATGTCCATTTTTTCTTTGAATTCAATCATCCATTTTACTTAAAAGTCTTCATTTTATTTTAGATAATAAAATGTAGGTCCCACTTATTATTTATTCCTAGCTGAAACTAACTTTATGATATATATTACAGTTTATTAATATCCCATTTCCCAGATACTGTTTTCCTATAGGTACTGTATGTTTTTATTTTATTTATTTTTTATAGAAGTACAAGAAATTAGACTGTTGGACTCTGTCGAAATTTGACAATTTTTAAACAGAGTTTATGCTTCAGAGAAGAGATTGTGCTTCAGCAACCATTATGATGATTGAGAGCAAATAAAGAAAATGTCAAAATCTAAAACAGAGAGTACATTATCATTCAGGCTGTTAAAAAAGAGCTGCTCTAAGAATCCTTTTTCTTGTTCAGGCTTTTGATTCTAAATTTACATTTAGTTCCTACTGTCAATGACCAGTTCACTGTGAGCAACTAAGGCTGCTAGAATGTGGTGTACATGACAATAAAATAACATTGAACAACAGGTTTGCCTCTTTCTCATTTTCCAATTAATATGGGTTACACTTAAAGTATATAAAAAGCACTTTCTCACCTCATTACATTCCTGACATGTTTCTGTTCCTTCTAAGCGTTACATCACTAAATGTTCTTGAAAAGGAAGGTCTCTTTGAAGTCATGTATGACATAGCAACAGAGCTCGAAAATTAGAGCATAGTCTCAGGTATCTATTTTTATGAGGTTTACTAGACCTTGGTTGTCTCACAAGGACCACACAAATGCCTTTCTACTGTGTAACATGAACTCACAAATTTAAGAGATAAAATGACAGGGTGTGGGAAAATATGATCTGGTCGCAATAAATAATAACAACTCTGTCTTTTAGAGGTAGTATGCAACTTTTTGCCCTCTAGCGGTTAAAAAAAACTACAAGTATTTTGTGGAAGAACATCGTTGGTTGTGCTTCGGCTCTGCATGACTGTGCGGATGAATATGACCCTTCACAGTATGCTTTATAATGAACTCTGTAAGAGAGCTACATATGGCAATTTGTCTGTTCAATGAAATCACTACCTGTTGGGTGTTGACTTACCTAATTTTAAATAAAAGTTTCATAGTGCACCTTTAAATTTAAAAAGCATTTTAAAATGAGGATGAGGATCATGTGACTTTTGAACACACACACACACACACACACACACACACACACACACACACACACACACACACACACACTAATACTCGCAACTTGTCTGATCAATACCCAGTGGAAAGAATCACAGCCTTATTGGATTAGGGCAAGAAAAGTGGGTTAAGCATCTTCTTGGATGCCACAAATATATCAGGCGTAGGGGTGCATTCTCTCACTTCCCAAACAGGGAAAAAAGGCTGTAGAGTTAAAAGTGATAGAGACAAACTATAAGTCTCATCTCTAGAGGTCAGTAAAGAATATAAGTTAGCTGATCTGATCAGTCGCTATTAGAACATCAAATTTACACTAAATAAATAAATGAGCATTTAATGAAAATTCATTCATATAAGAAAGTTACTGACAAAAATATGTTTTAAAATACTGCATATTATAATGAATAGAATAAAATAAAATAATCACACTGCAATTACACTGAATCATGATTAAGCATTTTTTACATTTACATTTGTATTAGTTTTTATTATATTTGTTTATTATTTTCTATTTTATTATTTAATAATATTTGTTATATTTATATTTTGATGTATGGTATTTTATTTGTGTGATATATGTGATCCTGGACCACAAAACCAGTCACAAGTAGCATGTATTTGTGGCAATAGCCAACATATGACTTTTATTTTATGCCAAAAATCATTAGGATAGTAAAGATCATGTTCCATGAAGATATTTTGTAAATTTCCTACTGTAAATATATCATTTATTTTTGTGAGTGGATCCAACTCAATCGAGAACATAAGGACAACTTTAAAAGGCGATTTTCTCAATGTTTTGATTTTTTTTTTTTTTTGCACCCTCAGATTTCAAATATTATCCCATCCAAAACACTGGTTTTGTAGTCAGGGTCACATATATAGGCCTAATAATAATAATGCATAAGGACTATATATGAAGAGTTCAATGCAAAAGCCTCTAAGTGCCATTTGAAATTTTCTTCTAGAATAATCATTTTTATCAAGCTTATATATTTAAGTTCAGTGATTTCACTTAAATGGCAATGATAATTACCTATTAATTGTTATTTAAGTGAAATTACTGAACTTAAATATACAAGTTTGATAAAAATCATCATTAAAGAAGAAAATTTCAAATGGCATTTAGAGGCTTTTGCATCTGAACTCTTCATATGTAGTCTATATAATTATGCAGGGCCATCCTAGAGGTGGTATATTTTATTCTTAGTGTAATGCACTGGTTTTGTAAAAAAAAAAAAAAAAAATCATCAATGACAAGTATAATCAAATTAACCAGAGTCTCTCTGTCTTAATATTTTCAACTACAAAGGTTATCAATATGCTATTTTTGAAGTAAAGTCTTACAGTCCGATGATTGCTGCTCTTTTTCCAGAGGTATCTGTAAAAGCATTGGGTGCCCTCAGCTGTCACTGGGGCAAGAGCCTGCGAATGCCCCACCTCACATACCCTAAATATCTAAATGCACGTGTCATTTGATCAGGAAGCAGAAAGTATGACAGATGCTACTGCAGCGAGGCTTGTGCACTATTGAATAGCTTTGCTTTACATTTGCATTTGCAAGTTTGTCTGTTTTTCCATGCATATAAATCATCAACATTACAATAAAATATGCATGTTATTGCTTGAAATGCCTGGGTCAATTCAACAATTTGAGATTGATTTAAAAGATTAGATGAGAAAGATTTCAGCATTCTTCATTCTGTTCATTAGACAGAACAGTCGGAATGTCCCATCCTGCTGTGGGTCTCATTTTCTAAAGCTAGTGTGAACAAACAAGAGAGTGCATGTAGGAATGTCTGACACTTGACTGCAGCTTGTGAGTCGCCCCACAGCAAAATGATTTGTGACACTGTTTTTCTGCTCCAAAAGCAGCTCTGAAGTGTATAGCCCAATGAAAATTTTGAAGTGAAGAGACACTGTATATACTGTACATAAAAAATTAAACAAATTAAAAGAACAGCTTTTCAGTGAAATCATTTACTGTACTGTTGTCTGCCAACAAAGAACCCTAACACATGAGACTGAGAAAAATGGCTAACAAGCTTTCCTTATAAATTGATTCATTTCATTTGACATCAACATTTACTTCATTTTGTTGTTCAGCATTGACCCACATAAGATTTTGATTTGAGTCAAAACTCAATTTAAACGACATTTACAAGGCCAAAGTTTAAATGAAATGAAAGTTACAATAATGTTTTATTCCCTATTGTGATGTGTATCTGAGTAAAACAGTGATCAAGAACAAATGTATATAGCCTATATGGCGGGACTTGATTTTGTCAGGAATTTTTTGGATCATTGGAGTTTGCGGTGATTGACAGTAAACACGTCATCATAGAAGAGATGTGGATGCAAGTTATTTATTAAGTTTTGATTAAAAAAAATTATGAGGGGACATCATATATTTTTTTTTTTAATTTATTTTTTTTTTTTTTTTATTTTTTTTATAGGCTAAAATCGCTATAAGTGAAATGCTGCAATATTCCATAAAAATAACAATTGTCAATTTGGATTTCATGGTGAATTTAAGTGAAAAACACTTTTCCAGTATCCCCCCCCCCCCCCGCCCCCCCACCACCAAGACAATACTATTTCCAAAGTTTTGTTAACCACCACAGACATCACACACAAGTATAAATTGACACATTCAAGCCTACGTGGCTGTGGGCTGTCGTCAGTCACAAACATCCACTGATGAAACTGATGAGACTGAACAACTGAAACAGCTCACTGGCATTTCATTGGCTGAGGGCAGGACTGTCAATCATGCCTACAGCACCTGCGAGCGCTGTGGCCATTTAATGAGCATGCGTGACACTTAGAAAACCCGAACACCCTTCTGGATACCGTTCGTCTTCACCGGCCGGTAAGCGTGTTCTTCCGTGCTATTTTACTTCTTCTTGATTCACAGACAGCATTGTGTGAAAGACAATTTACTGATGCCATAATTAGCCTATAGGGGTTGTCTTAAATTGTTGTAGAATAATTCAATCGAGGGTAGCCTATCATCTCAAATGTCATTAAGGCGGCAGAATTCTCCCGTCACTTCTACGAATCCTGTAAATTGGTTGGCAATTAGTTTGGAAAAAGTTAATATAAGTTTAAACCCTCAAAAGTCCTTAAAAAAAGTTAGTCATTAAAATATTCTGACATATGGAAACTATTTTATTTTCAGTCCGTTTTCTATTATTTTTACACCTGAATGCTCCCAAAAAAAATGAGAATGTTTTATCATTATTGTTTTTTATTTAATAGTTTTTTAGTTATTGTATTTTATTTTCAAATACAATAACTGTACAGTTCCTGGATGTTTGTCCAGTCAGGATATTGAGCAGATGCCACAACAGGAGATTTACATCTTAACTGACTGGTGATCAGATTAGAGGAGATTAGGGAGAAACTTCCTCTGACAGGGGAACCATGTTCAGGAGCGGTGTGCAAACGTATCATATTCATGTGATTGTATCTGCCAATCAGCTTGTTCAGTTTGCTTTGGATATGCGATGAAATGTTCCTATATGCCATAAAGCTGTCAGCTATAGCGTGTAACAAAAACTGTTTATAGCCTACTATTGTCACTCCTAATGCAGTTTTCATATAGGCAAATACTGTTACTGGTCTTTGAATTTTTTTTTATTTTTTTTTTTAAACCCTGACCTTATCATGGGTCAATTTAAAAACATTTAGACATTTAGGCATGAAGATGTTTGTTAATAGCCTAATTTATTGCTCATGTTATCCATTCTTTACATCAGCTTCAAAAATGTGTTGTTGTTTTTTTCTGTTTTTTTTTTCACTATGATCCGTTTCAGAACAATTGGTGGGTTTTTGTGGCAGGGAGACGAACAGAGACCTAGTGCTGCTGTCCCACAACCTCAGACTCATTAGGCAATGTACCCCTGGGTGGCCTTGCTATTTTTAGATGTGCCTTGTCTAGTGAAATTCTAAGGGGTTCAATAGGGGTCTGTAGATGGATGTACAGATAGATAGATAACTTGATAAGTTGTACTGGGATTTGTAGTTTTAAAGCTTTTAGGGTTCAGGGCCTGTGGTTTCTTTAAGGTTTACACTCTAAAAAAAATGCTTGGTTGTTTCAACCTCTATGGTTTCAACCCATGTTTTGGTCAAATATAGACAGACCCAACTGTTGGGTTTAAAAATGTAATGTAAACAAAATGTACTTCTTTAAACTGTTTTGATATTAAATAAAATTATGAATCAAATACATATTAAATTCTATTTTTCCTGAAAATATTATCTTTGAACAATATTTGTATTTACACATTTAATTTAAAACTAATTCAATTAAAAAGAGCTGGTAACTAATCTAAAACTAAGCAAAAAAAAAATATGGCATAAACTACTGTTCAATTTTACTTAATTCTTGTTTGGAAAGAGAATACTTCAAGAATCAAGCATTGATTAAAAAGTGACGGCAAAGACTTTTACATTAACTTTTTAACTTTCTACTCATCAAAGAATACTGAAGAAAAAATATATCACTGTTTCCACAAAAATGTAAGCAGCACAAATGTTTTCAAAGTTGATATTAAGAGGAAATGTTTCTTGAGCCGCAAATCAGAATGATTTCTGTGATACTGAAGACTAAAGAAAACTGCTAGTTTAAATTGTTATAATATTTCACTATTTTTACTATTTTTACTAAATGTAAAGTAAATGCAGCCTTTTAAAACATTAATATATAATACTGACCTTAAAACTTCTGAATGGTAGTGTATATATTGAGTAAGTAAAGTTTTTATTGTGCGTTAATATTGATTCTATATACATAAAGCAATTTCTGCGAGCTTTTAGAATATGTCACTGAAATTAACATTGAACTATGGGCAGTGAGAGACCTTAAAGCAGATGAGCAGGGTTATGTTGAGTCAGCACTAGATACTGTCTATGTATGAAGCAAAGACAGAGACATGAAGTCTGGACTGGAGTCGGTCTCACATATCCTGGGAAAAGTCTGAGACCCACAGTCACAGGCCCTGCTGTCACTATAACATGACAGTGTTACATTTGCAAATACTTGTTGCTCAAAAACTTGTAACTGAAGTATATTTAGCACACAACTGACAGGGTATCGGAAGTAGATCATGTAAATTGAAATGATATAGGAAGTGATGGTATACTGCAGTGTTTTCTTTACTTTTCCGCTGCTAAATCTTCATCACAACAAAAGAAACATATTTTATCCTATAGTTAAAAGTATAGCAAAATAAAGCAAAGACAACATGTCTTTCAGTTGCGAAAACAGCCATGCAGGACAACCATTATAGAATGAGGTCAAAAAGTCAGCATAACTTTCACAACAGTGGATTACACATGCTAATAAAACATAATTCTTTAAAATATTGGTCTATTGCATACCATTGCAATACACTTGCATTGGGGAATCTCTACAGTCCATAAGGGATATTTAACTGAATGAAGCATGAAGCGACTTCAAGGAGCAAGTACTTGTCTATTAAACTGGACAATATCTACAAGGGGTCACCCACTCAGACACAGGCACTAAATCCTGTCAGGCAGATAATTTATGGTGCATCGCAGAGACTGTTTTACCACTGCTGCTATTCATGGAACCACAGTGATCTTTAGAAAGCAGGAAGCAAGTGGTGATGAATGCACATTAACTAATGTATCAAAATATCAATGTCACTGTATGGACTATATGACCTATATTGGCTAACACCCTTTTGAGGCCCCACTTGTATGGATGATGATTTATAGTGTCATATAAAGGTAAATGAATCTTTTTTTCTGTTTTTTGTTTCTTTTTTTCTTTTCTTTCCAGTGTCAGGATGGAGGAAGCAGAACTATTAAAGGAGCGACTTCAAGCTATTACGGTAACCTTACATGGGTTTGTCTACTTGAAAAACTTGCATTATACACTTATAGTATTTATTAATATTTTTAATTAACTATTTTTTATATTTTAAATTTATTCTAATTTGTTTTATTGTGACATGCTTTAAAAAAATAATATTTAGCTTTATGTATTTCCGTTTTAGTAATTTTAGTAGTTCAACTTGATAAGACATTTCTCATTTTAATGTTACGTGTTTTTTTTTTATCTAATTTGCATTTTATTTTAGCTTTATTATTTTTCAATAATGAACTGTATTGTTGACATCAGGCAACTGCTTTCCTATCACATAGATGTGCTACTGTTGTTCCATGTCTCTATTGTCCATTTGTCTACAGAATAAGAAAAAAATCCAAGAGGAAATTGCCCACAAACGGCTTGAAATTGACAGAGAGAAACTGAAGCTTCAGCATGTTAAGGTACATTCTTGATGTTAGAAGTATAGTGTCATCAGTATTTCTCTGCATTTTATGTTTTGAATTATGAGGGTCTGGAATTTAAAGTATCTCTCCATGTGTCTTTTATAGAAAAGGTCCACGAGAGATCTGTGGCTCATGGATGGGATGAACAGCAATAATCCACTGGAAACACAAAAAGCTCTTGAAGATGCCCAACAAACAAAACACCTCAAGAGTAATATATATCAGTAAGACAAATTTTTGTGATGTGCCTCCTTTTAATTTCAATAGTTTCATTACTTTAGTTTTATTTATACCATATTTATTTACCAAAAGAGCCGAGTTGACCAAACACCATTTTGCTATTTGAGATTTTTCCATAAAAAATGTCAGCTAGTTTGTTGAGCTTATCATAGCATATCTGTCATTCTGGCATCTTCTGAATACAGTTAAAACATTTTTAATCTGAATTTAAGGGTCTTTTGTATTTACTGTAGCTTCAGGGGTTGGCCTGATGTTTCTCAGCTAATGTTTTTTGCCCTGTGGTGCCCTAATAAAATCTTTTGGAGTATGAGGCAAGCGGTGTGCAATGCTTTGTAAGCGTATTGCATTGTGGTAGCAATGAAGTCAGAGAAGGATACTTAAAAAAGCTTTTCCGATGTCCTTGAGAAGCTGCTACATGCAGGTCACACCCTGGTACAAATATTGCTGTTGTTATAATGCTTTCATACCCTCTTATCAATAACTCAATGTGTCTTTAACTCATTGGATCTAGCATGTCTATGCAGCAAAAAGTACAAACAGAGTGTGTGTGTGTGTGTGTGTGTGTGTGTGTGTGTGTGTGTGTGTGTGTGTGTGTGTGTGTGTGTGTGTGTGTGTGTGTGTGTGTGTGTGTGTGTGTGTGTGTGTGTGTGTGTGTGTGTGAGACAAGAACTCTAAAAGACGGAAGATTTAGAAAGCAATTATTTTTACACATTCTCTGTAGGATAGAGAAAGAGATTGAAGCATTGGAGAGAGAGGAAATGAACATCTCAACAAATGAGGGGCTGATTCTAAAGAGGCTAAAAGCAATTGAAAAATCTCCAGAGGACATCATTAAGGTACAGTGCTTTTGTTATGATTCATTTAAAACAATCAATGTGTCTTTTGCTTTAACTATATCAAATAAAAATAGAAAAAATCTTTATACATCTGAAAATTGAAGACTCTTGATATTAGAAAATGATTCTGTTTCTTCACAGGCAGTGAATGCAGATTTCATATCAGGTAAATACTGTAAAATTGCATCACAATCACAATGTTTATGGACCATAAAACTGTTGTTTTGAATTCTGGATTATATTTATGAATATGGAACTTTTGTTTGCAGACCCGATATATATAAATTCAACAATTCCAAATATGATAAAGCCCAGCACAACTCTATTAAATCAGAGGAAGAAACAAGACCTGGAAACTGAAGCAAAAAAGGATCAAGCCAAACCTGGTGAGCTGAAAGAAGACTTCAAACATCATCAATATTTTCCTATGTAGATCTAGCAAAACAAAACTTTTAAAACAGGGTTTCCCAAACTGGGTTTCACATATCTCTGGGAAATAGCAAGGAGTTTGTGAGTTGATTAATTCATGGTGATCCCATTCAATCAAGCGTCGACTATGTTTCCATTCAAGGAACAGGGGTTGCATACGCAACCGAGACGTTCTACAATCTACTTAGCCTTAAGATGCTTTTGAGAAACACCGCCCAGGTGTCATTGGTTGTTCAAACAGAGTCCCACCTCCAAAATCAAACCATTGGTTGATTGAATGTTTTTATGCTGTGATCTTAAAAAAATCTAATATATTTCAAACATTCCATTTGTCTCTTACAGCTTTGTTTGCCATGGAAATTAATGTTCAGAAAGACTTGCGCACAGGTGAAAGCCAAGTGCTGTCCACCTCCGCCATTTCTCCCCAAGAACTCCAGCAGAGAGGCATCAAAGTCTACGACGATGGCCGTAAGTCAGTCTACGCCTTACGCACGGACGGTGACCAGCCAGGTGCGAACGGAGTGGATGAACTCAGTCCCGTGGAGGTTGAGGAGCTGCTGAGACAGGCCTCTGAGAAAAAGAAGAGGTCCAATCAGGTTCAAATGGACCCTTCTTATCCCTACAACACCTCCCATGAACCACAATTAGACATAGAGAGCCACAAAACCAACGGACACCAAGATCCCTACAGCATCGACCTATCTGCATGGCCCGAGCTTGTATACAATGATGGTATTCACTATCCGGTAGACGTGGGTCATAGACTTCCACTCCTTCCAATGCCTGATTATAATGACAGACCAGACGAATACTATCAAAACGGCAATGGGAACTACAGCCGTGAGCTATATAGCGGGGAAAGACACGCACACGGACAATATCGCAGCCGGGGAACACAGCATTTGGATTGTGACATCAGAAACCACAGCTTGTGCTCGGCCTACTCTGAGGACTCCAAAGTGAGTATCCTGAATGCCATGCCATCAGATGAGCCAGTCACCATGATCTTTATGGGCTACCAGAATGCCGAAGATGACAGCCAGAGCTATGAGGGCTCGGTTCGGGCAGAGCTGGTAATCGTTGGAGATGGTGAAGATGACACAAGCAAGAGCTTCCACTCTCATCAGAGCTCCAACGCCAACAACGCCTTTTCCTACTCTGCCGGAAGGAAAGGCAAAAGAGAGGGTATTGAGGACCCATCAACTACAGGTACCCGTAAGATTAAAAAAGTCAAAGAGAGACACAAGCCCTGCTGTGTGCTGATGTAGTTGCACTAACACTCTATCAGCTCTTCTATGATGCAGCTTCTCACCAGACTGACTTTCCTCACTCTGCATGCTGGACACTGCTGTGGTTTTCCGTTTTTCAGTGTCTTAAATCATCCTTCATGTTGTCATTTGCTTATGTTGTCTGACAGAGTTTGTAAAAAAACACCTTGTCGCACATGTGTAGCTTTAGAGCAGGGGTCTTCAACTGCAGGGGGTCCATCAATTATCATTAAATCTCAAATATTTATTTTTTTATGAAAATGTGTTGGACAAATAAATCGATAATAAGTTAACTAAAAACAAATCTGGTCTTCTTAATACACAACAGTTTAAAAGTTTGGGGTCGGTAAGTGTTTTTTTAATGTTTTTAAGGAAGTCCTTAAAATCACAGAAGATTTATTTGATCAAAAATACAGTAAAACCAGTAATATGAAATATGTGTAAAAAAAATTCAATTCAAAATAACTTTCTATTTTAATACGTTTTAAAATGTAATTTATTCCTCTAATGGTAAAGCTGAATTTTCAGCATCAGCTCTCGTTCCCTCTCAAGGAACTGGGGTTATATTAATAACCTAGACACTCCCTTTTGAGGGAACTCACTGCTGTGTCATAACATTGACGCTATGGGAACGTTAATACCCACTTTGCCCTGCACCTGCTTCAATAAGCTGTGAAGATATGCACAATCATAGAGCTAGTGTCAATAACTCAAGCGATTTACACCGGAATTGAATATGTCAAAGTCTGTTCTGGCGCATAACCATGACATGCAATGCCCTTAATACCTAGAAGAGACAGTCTCAGGTAGTGACGTTCCCGAAATTCTATATTCTAACTAACCTGGTAAATTCCATAATAGCCCAACAATGGATGAGATAAAACCTGATTTAGCCTATAAACACCACCTTTTCTAGCAAAATAGAAAAATATTGTCATATATAAAACAAAAAAAAACTTTAAAAAAAAGTAATAAAACAAGTTAATCAGTAAATAGCAAGTTAATAATCAAATAAGTTAGCCCCGCCCCCTCACGATAATATTGTGTATTGCCGATCTCACCACTTTTGAACGGACGTGTATGTCATTGTACCTCCCATATTAAGATTACATTTGCATTTCAATTTCACCTAATACACTTAATATGTAATTCTGATCATTTTAGTGAATTTGCAATGTAAACATAAGTATGTAAATGCATTCCTGTGCAGTATACATTTATTAATGGTCATCATTAATGGTCAATCTTAAAATACCTCAATTAAATGATATGCAAAATGTGTCGCTATTCATCAAGGGCTCCTTGAAAAAAAAAGACCCCGATTTAGAGCTATACCTCCCTCTAACGGCGAAAGGGCAGAAATGCACTTCTCTTTCAAAATAAAATATGCAATAACTCTTTTTTGTTTTCACCTGCCAAACTTTCTATGCTTCAAACTTTCTACTTTCTATATTTTTTCATATTTTGCTTATAATTTCCTCCCTGTGTTTTTGCCGCTTGCAACTATAAGCATGAAAGTATTCCATCTGTTGTGACTTGAACAGGCATGCGTGCTTTCATGGATTGTGTTTCTTTTCTGTCATGCATCCTTTCTAATGCTTTGACATTAAGTGTATGAGAGTGTAAAAAGAGTGAGAGATTAATATTTGTAATAAAACTGATTGAATGAGTCTTGTTTTTTGTCTTTTTAATATCCTAATATGTTGTATATTAATAACTAAAAACAAAATAAGTTAACTACTAGATCACGCAAAATGCTAATTAGTTTTTTATTATTATTTAAATACTATTATATTATTTAATAATATTTTGAATTCGATATTTCTGAGTAATTCTGTTGTGTGTTTGTCTTGATTTTATATATATATATAGCTTCAATTTAACTTTTGCTAATTTTAGTACTTCAACAGACTTATTTTGTTTGTTTATTGTCAAGACAACATTTTTTACGGTTTTCATTTAATATTAATATTTTATTAATTGTAATTAATCCATATTTGTTTTTTTCATGGAACACAAAAGGAGCTTGACAGTCGCTGTTATTATTATTATACATTCTGAGTCACAAGTAAATTCATTTTTTATGTGATCTATTCCTTTAAAGGGGACATACCATGCAAACTCCACTTTTTTAGCCCTTAAATGCATTTTGTTGTATATTTGGAGTGTTTATAAGTACAGAAAAGATGAAATTATTCTCTTCAGGTGATTCGTTTATATCTTTATATTCTGTTTTGGTCATATTTTTCAACCTGTTCAGATTTTTCTGTTGTCTATGACGTTTTTTGAGCAAGTGCGTCGCCATATTTGCAGCGGAACTGACAAATAAGGACATTGACTACATGTCCAACACTTCGAGCAATCCGCCATTATTATTTCTCGCTCCGATTTTGTAGTCCTAGCTCAATGATGCAGAAGTTACGAGAGGGCAAGTCAAAATGTTCAGTTTTTGGATGTACGTTAGTGGCCTGAAGCACTTCAAGGATTCCCACTTCAAAGACCATTTCACAAGATGTAAACAACACTGTTCCAGAAGCACTTCCTGTTAGTGATGGCCAAATGAAGCTTTTGTGAAGCACTGAACCCATGGGTTCATTACTCGAAGCTTCAGTTGCAGCGACCTCTCCTGGCGAAAAGCAAGGCTGCAGTCAATTGGAGAAACTACTTTAGTTCTGAAGCATCTTTGCTAAGATCACCCTTGGATTTTTAACTATATTTCCTTTGAAAACTCTTTGATCCACACGCTAATGCTGAGCATAATGTTCTATTTACAAATAAAAATTGATAAATGTATGTTTTGTGTTATTTAGGAGAGAGCGCTGGGAAAATATGGCATAGGTTGGGTGTGCTTGTGTAACTATGGCAGGGGCCAGGGGGTGATTTTTGGGATGGGGAACACTCAAAGATTTTTATTGAGGTACATTATTTTTTCAACAGTTTTTGGACTGAGTCGGTTTCTTTTTTTGCTCACAACCTCTCCAGACTTGGAAAACACTCGCTCACAAGGAACAGATGATGCTGGCGAGATGCGCCGTTCCAGTGAATCACCTGATTGGACCGCAAACCAGTCAGATGATTCATTCAGGCAATGAAGCACTTGCTGCTTCGGACGTCATATGTCACATGATTTTTTTCGCACCAAAGCAAGCTTTAAAGCAGCTGGTTCTCTAGGTTTGTAGTTCAGGGTTTCGAAGCACGTATCGAAGCTTCAGCGTCACACTGCCATCACTACTTCCTGTTTCAGTTTTTTAACACTACATAAAAGCTGGGATAAAATACAACCAACAGAACATTTAAAACCGAATCAAAAAGTTAAACAAACATCTTTAAGATGTTTTCTTTACATGTGAAATAAAGAAAACCGTTACAAACTTAAACAGGAAGTGCTTCTGGACCAGTGTTGTTTACATCTTGTGAAATTGACTCTATCTTTGGAGACGACGAACAGAGCATTTCGATAAGCTGTAATATCGTTAATAAAAATAAAGTAGCTGCTACTTTACTTTCTTAAAACACATGGTGTTTATGGTTTAGCAGTACCTTTGTCTTTCTTTGTTTTTGTTTTGAAGTAACGTTACACGTCTGCAGTATTATTGTTTTTGAGTTTCATCAATGGTCATTTAGCTGCGTTTTTCTGATGCTTTTCTAAACGTATCATATTGTCAATACAGATTTTTTTTGTGGTAAGATTAGAACGCAGTCATTTATCTTGTCAGTGTGCTTGTTTTAACAAGAGAAATAGTCGACTTTCACTATTATATAACACAAAATAGTTGACTCACATACCAATATCCATATGAAGAGGTCTGCAGGTTCGTCGTCGTCTTTATCGACTCGCTCGCTCTGGCTCGAATATGTAAGGCTTGATGGACAAGTCTTCTGTTGTTGACATTTTATTAAGTGTGAATAAAAATGTTTTTTGAAGGTATCGTATATAATCGTATATCTCTAATCAAACTACAATAATGGCCGAACGTGGGGAGATGAACTGACCGTGAACTCATCGACCTGGAGAGCGGGAGGGGTGTGACGCATTTCCTTTTTATTTAAAGGGGACGCATTGAAACCGGTCGCTCAAAGACGCACATCAGAAAAGGGGTAGAAAAGGGGCCTGTGGAGCTATAATGAGGAATTCAGACCCAAGCATTGCAGTTATGTTTTATATAGACCACAACGGTATGATTTATATGTAAAAATGAATGATTTAAAAGCATGATATGTACCCTTTAATGCTGAAAAACAAACTGATTTCAACAGCATCCATCTACACAAATGTTGCATGACAAGATAAGTGACTCGCAACATTTGAGGCCACACTAACTTAAAGCCATTATGGCAGTATATGTTACTGCTAGACTCAATTCAAATGATGTTGTAACAGTATGCTCTATCTAAATATCTTTATCTAAAATAATAATAAATAAAAAGGGGTAAAAAATATAGGGGTCCACATTCTGTCATCTCTTCATTGTAGAATACGCAATCCAGCCTTGTCAATCTTCTTCAGAAACACACTCACTCCAGTTGTGTGCAGATAATTTGCTGTGCATGACTTCCAACCCATAAGAGGCTTTTAAGAAGGCTGGGTGGTGTGCTTGAAACACTCTTATATAATCAATCTTGGGGATTATATAAGTGGGGATAGCTTGTTTTATTAGGACAAATGTCTTTATAGCTTGAGTTATTAAGATTACCCTTTTACTTAAACTGCCCGTGCACAAAAGATGAGTCAGTGAGGAGGTGGAGCACTGCTGATAGGTCTCAGAGGGAAGCTATGGTGTGCATCAGCTGTCCATTAACTTCTCTTTGGTTAGGAGGATAGAACTGAACAGCTAAATCAATGTCTTTTCTCTCATGCTCCCAACAGCATTACAAATCCAGATGGAGAAACTGGGTCAAACCGCATAGTGCCCGGCACACACATTTTGTGGAGATCACACTCTGCGAACTCTGAGATTATTTTACGAAGTGCCCAGCAAGACAAGAAACATAGATCAACATCTCGACGGAGTCTTCTGAAAGTGAAAGGAAGGATGTACTAACACTTTTCAAGTCTAAACCGCTTAACATATTTTTGCCTATGTCAGTTTCTTTTATTCATATTGGTGTTTTCAAAATACAACACACACAGATATCTGCTGTAAATGACACTGACTGTTGTTTGAAACGTCCAAAAAGGAAGATATTGTTGTCATACGTCACAGTCTGAAGCTTCCTTTCAAATGTGTTCTCCATGTTGAGCAAAACCCAGAATGACAGTCAAACCTCATGATGTGCGTGTGTATGTGGCAGCTGACAGCTGTTTGGGACACCTTTATTATCTGTGCTAATGAATTAATCTTTCTGTTGTGTTTTTGTAGGGATTTTTTTTAAATTATTATAGATGTCAATAAGGGCTAATTGTTTTTTTTTTTTTTTAGTTTTTTTGTTGTTGTTGTTTTAGATATTTAGATATCTTTCAATGTTAATTAAATATTTGACATTTCTGATATTTTTGTCATAGTGGAAGTGAATGGTGACCAGGGATAGTCTTAATCTCTATTCATTCTCATTATGGAAAAGAGCAGCATGGACAATCTGCTAAATATATCTACCTTCATGCAGGGTTATTGTAACAACATGCGGGTGAATACATGATGATAGATGACCTGTCCCTTTTATGAAATAGCCTATCTGACAAATATTTTTTGATGCATAAACACCCTATTAATTTGTTTTTGGTCCCCCTGTAGTTTTGCAAAAGAATAAAGCGAAAAAAATAAATAATAAAATACTAAATCAGATTAAAGCTGATCCTTTAATACACTGAGCCTCTGAATTTAATTCTGTCCTGATAACAGTTGTCTGGTGTGAGCTTTTTTCCCAGAGCATTGGGGATTGTGTGCAAATATATTGTTTAGGTATATTCTATTTTCCCTATATGTGTCTGTGTGTGTGTTTGAGCTTGATCTTGAGCTTGTCATGTCTGTCAGTGGAGTTACTGTGCTGCCATTGGTCGATTCCCACGCATTCAATCACAGCTGTGGCTTCTGTCAAATACATGCACTCAAAGGAAGAAACGAGACCTTCACTGTTAAACCAGCCGACCTCAAAGCTCCATGACAGTGAGTATTTACATTTCAAACTTTTGTATTGACATTGAATACACATTACTGTAGTGTAACTCATCTGTCTGGATGGGGAGAGTCATTGTGCACCTGTGTCTGGTGAGAAACATTTTTATGCATCTTCAACAGAGTTTAAAAAAGGCTCAGATGTACACTTGCAAATTTGTGCATTGTAGTGGGAAGGTCTTAAGACAGAGGAGAGAGAGAGATGGTGCCTTTTTTGGTGTTACATTTGCAATTTGATGGAGTGTACTCATGCTGCTTTTCTGTCAATTGTGTGGGTTGGTAGCAAAAACCGTAAAGATGGGGGGAAACACGCAGAGACTGAGCCATGTAACACAGACAGAATATCCTCAGGCAAACGTATGTTATTTTTACTGTGATGCTCCGCAAGCAGATTTGAATTGCTTATTCTGAAAAAAAAAAAAGAATAGAGTTTGCATCACATGTGATATTATTATTATTATTACAATAGAACAGATATGGCAGTTGAGGAATACTAATACTAATTCTGGGTTATTCCTGGAAAAACCCATAAAGATACATGAGGGTTGGTTTGGCTTATAG